AAGTCGCGGAGAAAATGGCCGGGCGGATCGCGAGGAGGAAGCGGTCGTTCGCGGAGCAATTCCCCCGCCCTCGGCGGCCTCGAAGACGAGCGTAATTTTATCGGATGTCGTACTTGTTGGATATTCGGTCGCTCGTTGAATATTTAGGTCGACCTGTCGCACCGTCGGGCAAAAAGGAAAGGAAAACCGAAGGAGGAAAAAACGAAAGGGGAGAAGTTGGAATTGCGCGCGTCCACGTTGACTTTCCCGGCCGGCTCGCGCAATTATCGACCCCTCGAAGTGGGCTAAGCGCCTATCGCTCGCCCCGTCGATGTCGATTTCGCCAGGAGGAAGACCGAAATGCACCTCCGACCCATCGGCGTCCCATCTTCTTCGCTAATTTTCAACTTTATGAGCCGCCGACCCAGCGCTGGAATTCCCATATAAATGACGGAGACTCGCGAAAATCCACGAAAATTCGTGAAAACCCGCGACCTGCGGCCGCTCTTTGCGAGCCATCCGCACCTTCGTCCGCGCGATTCTCGCGACTTCACCGTTTCATCGTCCCACGGTCGAGTTTCGAGAGCGTAAAAATATTTGCGGACAATGGGCCGCTTGAAATCGCGCTTCCGCGGATCGCCCTCCCCCCCCATTGTCGGCCCGTTTTTTTCTCCATTTTTCGTAAGGGTGCATTTCCCGCGGTCTCGCCGCGGAGTTTGCGGGCTTTTTGTCGCCGCGTCGCCGGGACTCGCCGGTCCTTTGTCGCACGGATGCGCTACAGGAAAGAGTCGAGGCGATCCTGCGGGAAACGGCGTGCAACAATGAAGCGCTTAACGTCCTCCGGCCGGATATGTCGGTTTGATTTACGCTAAAAAATCGCGACCTCTAAAAGGACCCGGCGTTCGCCGTCGGTTCCGTTTCCGCGCACCGCCAGGCCGCCGAAAGTCTGCGGATCGTTTTGTCCAAATCGAACCCGCGGAAACCGGACACTTCCGGCGGTCCCATTGTGTCCCACAATTACGCAACGAAGCGTTCGACCCGTTAACCGCCGACGTTTCCGACGACCGACGTGGAGGAAAAAATCTACCCCCCGCGATCTGTCGATTCGTGCAGAAAAATATTAAAAGCCGTGAGAGTAACGGGCAACCGCGACTCGCCGGAAAATCTGCCCGAGACGGAAAATTTGCATCGTCGGAATGCGTCCCGCGGAAATATCGCATCCGCGTTAATACCCAATCGCGTCTCGTGACAAGCTTTGCCGGGGGAAGAATAACGCGACGCGGGATAATCAGGGAAACCGTCGCATCCGCCTTTTTCATGCAAATCCGCGCTATGACTCTTCGACGTCGCGTTGACGAGCGCCACCGCTTTGCGGTCCGTCACGGACGGGCGACAGATCGACGCGGCCGCAATCTCCGTGATTTCGTTGGAAATCCCCCACCGCGGTTTTTTCCCCTCCCGGTGAAAAGGAGGTAAAAAGGAAACGGAGAGAAAAAAAGGATTCTTGGATAATCGTCATGGGCCGATTTGGCGATATCCTGAACATTTGTCAGGACGGGGGACAAATCGTCGACCGAGATCGGGCCCTGGTTAACTTGTCGCAAAGTGCCTTTGCATACGAGATGCAGCTCTCAGCTCGGCTCGACTTGAGTGCAGTTTCTCGCGGATATATGCAGGCGCGTCGGAACGTAAAGGAAAATAAACAGCGCGTAGGACCTCGTGTCGCGTTTATGCGAGATGAGCAAACAAGGTGGCGTTAAGCTTCGCGGAAAGACGTCGGTTCTGCCGGACGCGGCGGAAGAGACAGAGAGGAAGAGAGACCCACTAAGCGATAGCTAAGCGACAGCCGAGGCGTCTATCGATGCATCAGAGGCAGACAGAAAACGGTGCAGCATATATTGAGAATATCATAGTACGCAAGACCACTTGAAAGCGTGCGAGGAATTGCCTGACGAGGGGATCCCCAAAGGACCGACCGGGCATCTTTTCGGCCCCGGTCTCGTCGCGATTGCTCCCGAAAGCGAAACGGGTCCTCTACGTGATCGGGATACCGTCGATATCCCGCCGAGACCTGGACCCCGCCGTTTGTTCCGAGATTCTCGGGCGCTTGTCGCCCCTTTGTCACCCTGAGCCAATGCCGAGCCGACTTTCCCACACGTAGACCGCGGAAGGAGGGCCCAACAGGTGCCCGAGTCGCGTTCGGGTGCATCCATAAATCGAGGGAAGCGCAACGAGGGTCTCCATCCCGGAATCTCCCCCGTAACTCCAAGGTGCCCCTCTAACAATTAATCGGCTTCTGGTTACGAGAGAGAAATCAATTTCAAGTTGCGACAGCCTGCTCCGAGGAGTTTCCCACTGCCCGGTGGCGACGGGTTCTCGAAGGGAGAGAAATTAAAAAATGGGAAATATGGGGACGGTCGATGGTCCGGTCGAGGGAACTTAAGAAGAAAGGGGATCGGGAGTTCGTCGAGGAAGGAAACGGGACGAGATAGGAAAGGAACCACTGGCTAAGGGGCCTAAATGTACTTGGCGCGGGACTCAGGCGACCTCCTGGTTACGTTCCAAATTCAAGGGTCGTTAAGGGGAGCGCGGTCCGTCCCCTGCAGGGCCCTCGTGGGCTGTTCCTTAATCTCCTTTCGGAGGAACTCGTCGTCAGGCAATTACCCTTCGGCAGAGAGAAAGTAGAGGAAAGAGAGAGAAATAAATTGTCCGCCGACAATTAGCGCGCGGCTACGCGGAGGCTCCTTCAAGCCTCCGTTTTAGCGCTTATTAGACCCGAGGAAGTAAACGTGTCTCTTCGCTCGTGCGCGGTGTCGGCCGGAGCGGTAACGAGCGCAAAAACCCACGAATTTTCTTCATTTCCCTTTTTCCGCGCGAGTTTCACCGCATACTTGGCAGCGATCAGTCGTTTCCTTTATCTCGAATCTCGAATCGATGGGACCGCAAAACGGATATTTGGAGTACTCGTCGCAAGGAGGGTCGGCCAATGGCGGACTCCCGGAGAGCGTTCGTCTTCCTCCAAGTATCCGTTTTGGAGACAGGTTCAAGTTGCGCCGGTTATCTCGACGCCTTTCAGGTAAGGCCGTCGCGACACTGTTCAGGCGACTTCGCTCGGAACTTCCGGCCGGCACCAGCAATTACGGGGCCACTCGCTCTCGTCGCATACACTCGCGTGCACTCGCTCACTCCGAATCGCGGCTCGACGGCACTTGGTTTCGACGCGCGAGTTCCGGCCTCTCCGTCTTCGCGATCCTCGAGGAGCCCTCCGTCGACGCGTTCCCGACGCCCGTCTCATAGAAAGGCGAGCGATCGGGGACGCCATTTCGGCGCCGTCGAGGAGGAAGGACTCCCTCGAGCGGTGAGACCGTCGCCGGATCCTCGCGAAAAGCTCGTCCTTTTCTCTTCTCTCGCTTGTCGCCGTCCTCGCTCGCGGAAATGCGCCCAGAAGACGCATCGGCGTCGGGGGTGAGCTCCCTTCTCGAACCCTCCTCCAAGAGCGAGGGAAAAAAATCGAGGAGCCCCAGAGTGTCTCCCCCACTTTTTTATTCCCCCCCCGAGAAGGAATAAAGTATTTAAGGACGGGAGGAATATATAAAGAAAAGTATTTACCCAAGAAAAATTTACTCTGGGGGTGAATCAAGGAAAGAGAGTCGGGAGGGTGGGAGAGGTGGATGAGCGATGCCGATCGCGATCCCTTCGTGTCTTTTTCAAGGATTCGGTAGGAGCGAGTCGTCGCATCCCCTTCGATCCTGAAACTCACCCCCGAGGTGCCTCGGCGCGACTTCTGGACTCGCCCTTAGGCACGACGCGCCCTCGCCGATGCGAAAGCAAGGAACCGATCTGTTTTCCCCGTAATTCGGGTACCCCATCCCTCGTTTATTTTTTTCCGCGATTTTCACGCCACCCTCGGCTCGCCGGTTTAATTGACTTGCGACGAATTTCCGCGCGTTTCCTGTTTCGCTGCACCTCGCGCGGAAAACACCGCCTCATTAGGGGCGATCGATGCCTCGGATGCGGAAAATGTAGCCAGCATATTCCGCGGACTGCACCCGTACTTGACGTGGCGATCGCGTTTCGACGGCTCCGAGATTTTCCCGGGAAATTCTATCTCCCCTCGGTGGCACTTTTCACGTCGCTCCTCGGCTCGTTTTCCTTTTTGTATTTTAATTCGCGTCCGTCGTCCACGGCCTTTCTCGTTATTCCGCCCCCTTCCCTGTATCCGGCTCTCGGCTCGATCTCCCAGGGTGCGTGTTTCGATTTCCGCGGATCGATTCCATTAATTCTTTCCTGTCGATCGGCGCTCCTCTTGCGTCCTCAATTAGCGCGCCCGTCATGGCAGATGAAGCGCGCTCGTTATTCGTTAGATCCGCTTATACTGTGCGGCGCAACGTATACACGTCGACGGGTCGTACCGACGAGGCGGCTTCGTGCATCCCGGAACGGCAAAGCAAGATTGACGGATTTTAATTTGCGTCCAGGCCGCGTCGAGCGCCCTTCCGGAAAGAGTCTCGCGTTTCGCGTCTTCGAACGACCCGCGTCGGAGCCCTCGCTAAAAACCCTATTAAAACGGACGAAAACCCATTTCTCCGCCCATAAAGGAACGTCCCGACGCGAGGCACCCGTGAATACTCGCCGCGTCGAGAGGAGACGTCGGGATGCGATTCCGTTCCGTTTATTTCCCCGTAAGTGCGACTTTCTCGAGGTACGACGCAAGTCCGGACGACTTGTCCTTCCGTCGCAAGTCAAAGTAAAATCGCCAGGCCGTCGCGATTCAGTCATTAACCTCGCAATCGACGATTCGAAGCTGGCCATTTTAGTGGGATATGCCGATATCTCGGTGGTTCCTCGATTCCGCATCTCCGGGTCGCGAGGGCGCCCGCCGTCGGGGTCCTGCGGCGCCTTTCCGGGGGCGTCGCGGCGCCTCCTCGTCGCCCATCGGGGCGTTCTTCTCGTCCCCTCGTCTTCGCGGTCCCGCGCAAAGTCGGGATATAGGTCGGGAAAGTCGAGAAAATCGGTTGTACCTAACAGGGGTATTGCGTCGGAGACCTGGGGCAGGGTCTCGGCGACGAGATTCAGGAACACCGTCAGCGATAGCAAGATGGTCACTCCTGAAACAGTCGTAGCCCACCGTGCTCAATCCTCTCTCACTCAGGTGGCCGTGTCGAGACGTTGATCGCTAGAAAGGCGACTCGCCGAGCGAGTGCAACCTGCTGCCCCGGATTCAAATTCGGGCGCATCCGAACCTGCCTCCTCTCCTGGAGGAGGCCCCCCTTTACGAATCCCCCGAGGGCTCCGGACTCGGGAATCGTCCCGTGGGAAAGCTCGAGTGCACTCGCGAGGTACATGCGGGAAAAGCTCGAGAGGGAATCGGATGCCATCGAGCAGCTGGGCCCGAAATGGTCCTCGTGGGCACCTCACGTCATCGTCATCGGTACCCGGTGTCCCGATCCAGACGTGTCGCGATCAGCTGATGGACCCCCAACGCTCGGGCGTGCCCTATCGGCGATCGATCGCGTTACCAGTGATCGAATAATCGAATGCACGTGCAAGCGACGGGTCGATAGGAAGTCGCATGGCTCTTGACGACCGACTTCTCGCTCCGGGCGATAGATGCGATCCTTCGGCCAGGAGCGGAGTCGGTGTTGGGGTGGGTCAGGGTCGCGGGAGGACGTCGAGGTCTGCCGAAGATCATCTCCTGGTGATGGGGAAGAGCTCGCGGGGAGTCGCCGCCGATTCGTCCCGGGGCGAGGGGGGTACTCGCAGGATCACCAGCAGTACCCCCCACGTCCGACTTCGTAGACGAGCTTTCTCGGCGAGAGAGACCCTTAAGGCTCGAAGTTCCGGGATCGAAGTGTCCTCTTGGGCGGACTCGCCGGCGCGATTCCGTCAATATTCCGCCGGGCGGAATGAAAAACTCTAATCCCGGCTCCGCCGCTCGGGGGGGTGCTGGACAAAACGTGAGTCGGAATCCAACATGCGACTCCCTCCCCGGACACGAGCCCTCCTTATATATCGGGAAACGGCCGATTCGACTTCTTTTTCTCCTCTCTATTAATTCACTTAGGTCCTCCGAGGGCCGCCATCGGGTTCGAGATGATCCCGGCTGCTCCGTGACCGGAGCTCCGGCAAAAAGCGAACCCACGTTCCGGCGAGCTCTCCACCGGAGTCCTCCCGCGACAAAAAGGACCAGGGATGGGCAGTTACGCGTGAAAAATTATTTTCTACACATATATCGCGACATGCCTTGTGCTCCGGAGTTGACGTTCTTCCGCGGTTCTTGTCGCCTGGACACCGGGTGCCCAGTTTTGGGACTTTCAAGACGAACTGACGGGATCAAACCCCGGTGAATTTACGGCGGGCTTGGGGAACTACTGGGTCACCTACGTGGTGTCGAAATCTACGGGAGACTCAGTGGTCGCGAGATTTTTTAAATGCGCCGCAAAAGCATTTCCGGCTGTCCGTTTTCACGGGATGGCAGTATACAACGCGGGGAGGTAAAAATTACTAGTGGCCTTGGTGTTAGTCGGAACGCTTCATTGTCGACCGGGAGAGATGCGTAGAAAATAGATTTTTACGGGTAGAATATACAGGAAGATATACATGTAATGTTCTACGTACCCATCCCTGCAAGACATGGAGAGAAGGGAGCCGAGTGTTCGCACATGACGCGTGCTCGTCGCGTCCGACTTACCTTGTCTGCGTCGCGAAATGAGATGAGGAATTGCGAGCTTTCGTCTCGCTGGCTAAAATCTCAGCCCAAGTGCGTCTCCTTTCGCCGCCATCGGAGGCAAGACGTACACATTAAAGGGGAAAAAAAAAGAAAAACCCGGATACACCGAGAAAAAAGTTGGTTGACTCAAAGAACTATGTATTGCGGCAAGAAAATCCTGCGATCGGAGACGTCCAGTGAAAAATCAGATCGAGTAAACATTCGTTTAAATCAAGAACATCAAGTTTTTTTTTCCCAACGAAATAACTGTTTCTTGCAATTATTTACGACTCGAGCAACAATATGTCAACGGTACATGTTTGTTTCGGTCAACTAATATTTCTTCTCGGGGTAATAATAAATAAATAAAATAATCGATCGCCGACGATTCCCTAACAGACAATTCTTCGTCGGTGAGTAAGGATCGTCAAGGAGCAGGATTTCGCTTTTTGTTTCCATTTCCCACTCGGTCACTTCCCAGGCGGATGGATTTCTCGAAACGGTTAACCGATAGCAAGAGTAATCGCGAATGTGGCCAAGGTATCGGTTTAAAACTGTATTCTAGAGTTTTGAGGCTAATCATTTTTAAAAAGCATCCTAGGTAAGGTCCACTCGCGGAAAGAATAGCGACTAAATCCGACCACGAGGAAGTGAGTCGCGAAAATTAACCCCGCTACGTTGCCGCGGAAAGTCTCAAGACTTAAGCTCGGTTGCATCGTCCCCACTTAGGACCTAAGCCGAGCTTAAGCCCGGACTTGACCGATCGCGGGTCGAGCTCGATGACTGCTACCGGTTAATCCGAGATTTAAGCTCGGCCCAAGTTTTAAGTAGAGCCAGGGCGACCGGCCCAACAGGCGTAAGGCGATTAGCGAATCGCGAGTCCCGTTCGCCATTTGTCATCCCCTTGGACCGCTGGAAATATGTCCCTTGGTCGGAGACTCGCGAGAAATTCGAGGTCCCCCTAAAGCGATTCCCCTGTTAAATTTGAAACGCAGTGGGAAATGTTAGGACGGCAAAGAGGAGTCGCGATTCTCTTCCAGGGAGGTCCGATCGATCGATCGGCGATCATCGATCCCCTCTTTCTGCTCGCTCGCTCGATCGCGAGAGGGATCTACGTTTCGGACCCCGAGAGTGGTTCTCTCGGGCCGGTTGCTGTAAAGAACTTGGAGATTATTCGTAGAACTAGAGAGATGCGGTCATAGAGTACACGTGAGATATGAAAAAGGGGTGAACGTATGCTAGGGGCTAAAAAGTGCACAAGGATGCTGGGGGACGACGCCTTCGGGCGTCGCGGGGCGCGTCCACCCCTGCGCGGCCACTCCACGAAGGCCCTCTGCGAGGGATTTCTCCCAAAAGTGTCGTCGCAAAAAAGGAAAAAAAAAAAGAAGGAACTGCGCGAAAATTGCGACGAGAGACCACTCATGGGGTGTCATCGCGCGAGGTCGTTCTCCTGGACACTTAGGGGTGGACGTTCGTCGGTTCCGGGGTGTCCTTCGTGCCCAAGCTCCTGCATTCTCGCAGGCTGGAAAGACAGAGGGGCTGTGAGGGTGCCGGAAAGAGGGTGTGACTTGAAAGCCGTCAGCTACGATACCGCCATGTCGGGGTTACCGCTACCAACCAAAAAGAAAAGCAAGACCCGCTCGGCCGAGCGGGCTACGAAAATCAAGTTTCATGAGTTTTAGCTTCGTCGATTTATTGCGTGTCCGTTTAAGAGGCGCTCGCAACCGTCCCGTGCGTTGCCACGCCTCGTTCTCCGTTAGTTGCGTGCAAGTTAAGTGGCCCTAAAACTACCTACGCCCCGGGGGATGATTTGCACGCATCGGACCACCCTGACAACCTGTCGCACCCTTTCAAGGGGGCAAAGGGGAAAGCGTCGTCGATAGTGCGTGCAAACATTATCCCAGCGGCGCGGTCCTAATTCTAAGTCGTGTTCCAGGTCGAGATGGATCCCATAGAGCCTAGAAAAAAAGGGCTCGGCTGATCCCATAAAAACTCGGAGAGGACCCGAAGAGCCTCGAGGACAATAAAGAGGGATCTTTTGTCTCGACTACTTGCCACGTAGCTCGTGACGCGACACTTCCTTCGCAAGACCGTAGGACGTGGAAGTACATCAAAGTGCAAGTTGTAGAACCTGCTACGTAATCCACTTACAAAGCCCGCGTGATGGCTTTACATAATTCGGGGAAAATGGCGCCCCTACGAGAGTACACGCCGAGAGGCATATTCCGTCTCGACTTCGCTTCTTCCGCGGTTGAACGAGGTGTAAATTCATCTCGACGAGATGCCGGAGCCAACTTTTTACCGCTCCGAAGCGACCCCTCGACGTTGCGAGCTCCAAGAACCGAGTCCACGACGTAATCTATGACATCGGGACCACGGACCTCCCGGGCGATTTCCGATCGGCATCGAATAAACCCGGAGACTCACGAGACACGTTCGAGCCATCGACGTAACCGAGAAGGAGCATTCCGTTCTTCTGGATGGAATCTTGGATACGCCATTGGCACGGACGCCCGATTCCACGTCCAAGTCGTCTCGTTCTCGAAATCGAGCGACGTGCGCTCTTCCGCTCGCACGTTCCACGAAATACGCGATCCTTCGACGAAATAGGCAAATAGTGGTCGCGAAACTCGAAAGTCGGAGAACCATCCTCGAGAAACAAGACCGATGTCTATTTGACAGGTACCTTCCACGTTCTTCCGCAGCGATTCCGCGGGTTTACGCCGTACTCTTCTACCCTGAAGACCGATGCGGTGTTTAATGGTGAATATATATTTCCCCGAGGATAGTAGCTTCTAATATTGTGGAGGATGGAACGGTGTGGGGATGGGGGGAGAAATTGTAAAAATTCCGGCGGAGGAGTCGCGCTGCCCGATCTCGTCGGTGGCGCGACGCCGCCATTTTGGTCCCGCGCGAAGAGACGCCGAGGGGAGGAAAGGCGGAGGAAACTCGGTCGCAAAAAGGGAGACCGCGTTAACGGCGAATCGCTCGGATTTTTCTTCCCGTGGAATCTTCCGCGATCGGCCAATCAGTTTTCCAGGGAGCCCGGCCGGCGCGGCGGTGATCGAATTTTCCGCGCGAGCGGAGTCTCCTGGGCGGAGCGCGAGAAGACGCTCGTGCAGGAATCCGATAAAACCCGCGACGAAACGGCCCGCCGTACGGAACGACGCGTTTTCCCAGGACATAAGCGCGTGTACGGCTATGTACGCTTTCATGCGCTCGTAATACTCGCACGCGAGGGAAAGTCCACGAGGAACTTCGCCGGGTCGTTTCGCCGGAATTTCTCGGCGTCGAATTTCGGGATCAGGTGTTGGCGTCGCGTATAGTTTGTCCATTGGATGCGGGGATTAGCTTCAGGATTTTGGGGGCAAAACTCGAGGAAAACGGGCCCGGAGCGCC